CTATCTATTTATTTATTATTTGGTACAGGGTCTCCCTAAGGAGCTTGCATGCATAGTTATCCTCCTGTCTCAGTTTCCCCAGGGCAGGGATTACAGGTGTGCACCACCACACATGGTTTCAGTGGCTGGCAAGGCATGCCTGGGGTTCTGGGGCTAGCATGGCATATGGTATGGGGGACTGAACTTGGGTCCTTGAATTTGCCAGGCAGGCATTTAGACCACTGAGCTACATCCCCAGTTCCCGTTACTGCATTTCTTGTGCTTGTACAGAATATTCTTTGTAAAGCATACTTTTGTTCCTCCACTTTGTCTTCCTTTTAGATGTTACAGTAATTATGGCTAAAATGTGGTATATATTAGATATTGTCCAACTGTCAATACATTAGATATTGAAGGAATTCTCAACAGTGGATCAATCCTGTGACCTTTATGAGCATGTTTTATTAATATCATTGAATTACATCTGATATTACTAACATCCAACATTTATCCAACATCTGTAACTCTGAGTATAGGAAAGTAATTTGTTTCAGTTTTGAAAAACTGGAGAAGTTATTCTAACTATGAAAATCAATAAATATGTATGTTATCTATAATATACCAACTGTAGTAGTACAACTCACTTAAGCAGTAGTTCTTGATAATAATGATTATAATATTTATATTTGTGAACATAAAAAGAAATATGTGCCAAAGAAATAAAAATATTTGGTAGAATTTTTGAAAATGTCTACAATATTTTCAAATCTAGAAAATACATTGGCCAAGGATTTATTCATAATTAAACATTGGGATGATGAAATGGAAGGAGACAGTTCAAAATTATAAATATAAAGGATGATTGAATTTTATTTTACTGATTTGGTTTTTTATTAGTAATGCAATATTAGTTGCATACAATCAGTGTATTTTAAAAGAATAATCAAGGTGTACTTTCATCTACTTTATCTTTAAAATCACTTGATTATTAAAGCTCTTTCTGTTAGTGTATAGAACTTATATGTGCACATACATAGTATGTTTTTGTGTTTAAATAAATGTTTTATTGTTAATTTAAATAGTATTTTTAAATGTCTGGGCACTAAAAGCCCACTCTTTTTTTTTTTTTTTTTTTGATGGTACAGGAAATTGAACTCATGGTCTTGCACTTGCCAGGCAGGTGCTGTGATACTGAGCTTTATCCCTGGTCCATTCTACTCTTTTTTTTTTTTTTTATGTATTTGGTTGTTTCAGGGTTTCACTATGCAGCTTGGTTGGACTCATGGTGACCCTCCTGCTTTCAGCCTCCCCAGCACTGGGATCATAGGCGTGCACCACTATGTTTGGACTCGGGCTGGTTCAGCATGCCGAGGGGCCATGGCTGGCACCACATGTGGTGCTGGGATTGATCCTGCTTCCTGAACTTGCATAATCTTGCCTAAGCAGGCACTTTAGTCTGCTGAGCAATTTCACAGGCACACAACCTATTCTTTTTTAATGAAAGTTAAAATTGTTGTTAATGCAGAAATGCTAACTTTTTAAATAGGCTCAGTTATGTTGCAGAATACATGCGACCATTGTGGAAGTTTTCATTTCCCTTTTAGAAAGTTCCTAAGTTGATTCAAAGTTCCTTTGAATTATTTGGTATCTTTTATTTTTTCTCTATTAATAACTTTTTGAGCTGGGGATATAGCTGCATGGTGAAGTGCCTGCCTGATAAGTACTGAGTCCTGACTTTGATTCCTGATACAAAAGATAAAGACATCTCATTTTATGGAGAGATGTTAATATTTAGGTAAACCTTTCTAAGATGCTTATCAATACTCACTATGTCTTAAAAACACTTTAAAAATTTTAGAGCTCATACATAAAAATGTAAAAATTATATACATTACTGGGATACCTGGTAATGATTTGATGTATATATATTTATTTATGGTCTTTCCATCAGAATAAACATTTATCTCTTCAAGCATTTTGCATTTTATACTGTAATACTTTCAAAATCCTTTCTTCTAGCTTTTAAAACATCCAGGACATTATTACAGGGCTATGTACAGCCACCTGATATGCAGCACATAAGAATTCCTCGCTCCTGTCTCATCACCCATTCATCAACCTTTACTCCTCCCTCTCTCCTTACTTTTTTTCCAGGTTCTAACTGTCTCCAAAGTTGCACTATCTCGTAGCCTTGTATTAGTTAGGGTTTGGAATACAAGATAACCTGAATTGTTCTAACATTATTGAGTATCTCTTAAGTTACCAGCATCAGATTTAACCTCATACAAATTTAAGGGAAGTAAATCACCAAGACTCAAGACCTCCTACATTAACAGTACTGAATTAGACTTGGAAAGAAACTAACATATTCTTCTGATTCAAGTGTGAGGCAACACAGTCATAATGTATCCTTAGAAGCATGCATGGAACACAGCAGAAAGGACAAGATACTAGCAAGACAAAGTGAATACGAGAGATAGTTGCATAAGTAAAGCAAAGAGATGGTGGCTGGATTCTGGCTTCAGTGATTAGGCAAGATTTCTGTGCCTGTGAACCACCACAGAGAGCATGAGAGACTGGGGCAGAGAATCAAGGAAAGACAGGACACAATTATCAAGGCAATGTCAGAGCAATGAAAAATGTAAATTAATTAAACTATATTCTGGTCACTCCACCTCAAACTCAGCTATCACTGTGTAACTTGTGTCTTTATCATTTTTCATCCTGATCAGGTTGTCATTTTGTTCTCTAAACTGGCTTTCTGTTACATGCAGTGATTCTTTCAAAGCAAAATCTAATTCTCTTTGTCTTTTGCTTAGAAACCAAGGAAAGCTTAGTCTGCTTCCCTTAGTATATAGCAGGACCTGATAAGGCTACAGTACAGCCTCAGCTCTGCTGTGAATGCCCACGCTGGCCCTATGCTGTGGTCATATGAAATTGCTGACACTGACTCCACTGAGAACAAGATGCTATTTTATAATTTCATGTCCTTGCATGTAGTACTCCTCCTGCATAGGTTCCTGTATTCAGCTCCTGTAACCTGTTTCTTTTCATAAACCTTTGTAACTGGTAACTCCCATCATCTTTCAAGATGCATTTCAAATATTCTCCATAACGAAGCTTGCTGTGACCTTTCCTGGTAGCAATCCTTCACTTGTAATCACCAGTCCTTCCATTTCCTCTATGACAATTAGACAATTGTACTTCAATTATTTAAGGGTTCCTCTGGTTACAGCATGGGATTTCAGTTCTAATAAGAGCTACGTTGCAATGAGAATTAAGAAACTAAGGATGCATAACTTCATAATGGCCACGGAATTTCATCTCTTTCTATCGTAGAATAAAGATGACTGTCTTAGACTTTTCCACATGAAGTTCCCCTCAGCCATTAGAGACTAAGTTACAGAGTCTTATCTGATTATTATTGTACACCCTACACTTAATAAGTGACCTTCTAGGTGTCAAAGATGCACAAAAGAGAGAATAGTGTAGCAAATTCCATTAACCAGTTTTGACAGTTACTACGTAATAAGCCTTATTATTCCATATATTCCAACCTTATTCCTCTTCCTTTCTTCCAAATATTTTAGAGAAAATCTCAGAATATAATTTTGTTGCTGAAGTTACTATGTATGTTTATGTAAGACAAAGACACTTTTATAAAAAAATCTTGATGACAGTTTTCACATGTAAAATGTTAATTTTATATTCACCTAATGTCAGTATTAAATTTTGTACTATTGTTCATATTTGAAAAAGTTTGTTTGGATAAAGACCTTGAGAAGTCAATAACTTTTGATTGACTTTTTTTTAAAAAAAATTCTACAACATTGGTCCTCAATTAGGGACAATTTTTCCCTGTTAAGAATAATGTCTGGGGACTTCTAGTCTAATAACTAATTGAGGGATGTTAAGGTTATCTAGCCTGTGCGAACCCCAAAATACTGCTAAACATCCAACAGGTCTGCCAGTGTAATAAAAATTTTTCTGGCATTTCACTATGAAGTTGAGAAACCAATCTAAATTTCTAATTTCCTGATGTTTAATAACAATTTATTTGTTGAATATATTGTTATTTTTCCTCAAGAGTGTTTGCTGGGAAAACATGGTTTCAGTTTTGTACATTTTGTCCCATATATTAATTAGCAATTAATTTTGAAACACCATCAAATTCACATTAAAGTTTTATATATTTGAGCCAAATCTACAGGATTTATTTCTTAGACATTGTGGAGTATGTCCCATTAAGAGGCATATAAAGTTTGATTCTCTTTCTCATCAATACTGTAAACTCCTGATGCTCAAGCTAATTTATTAAGGCTTGAAAAACTGTTATATTGCATTTTCAGTTTGTTTTTATTTATAACAAGCATTACTGCTTATTGGCAGTATTCATTGGCTAATGTGTTACACTGTTTGGTATGAAAATCACATTGTACAGCATTTACACATTCCATATTTCCTTTCAGAAATATCCTCTACCACATGGATGAGAAGACGAACCAGTTTTCAATACTTGTGGAGGCAGGGGAGCACCACCACTCTCTCGCATCGAATGAGACCCTTCAAGGAGCCCTGTCAGAGGTTCTGAACAGCATTAATTCAGCTCAGGTTTACTTCAAAGCAGGACTTGAAGTCTTCCAGAGTGTCTGAGTTGCAGAGAACTAAGAATACTCTCAGCATTTTAAAAATGTTTGTTTACAATTCTATAAGCAAAAGCTAATTTGACCATATTTTTCTGAAATTGAGGACTTTTTTTCCTCTGGCTTTTCAACAAGTTTAAAGATATATTACATGGTCTTTTTCATGTAATTGAAAGAACATTTTGCACATCAAATATTGTTCATATATCTACATTTTTGAATATGTAAAAGCAAGTTATTGAAATAATACTTAAGATTTATCTACTAAGAGAAATCTGCTGTATTTTTATATATAAAGTATTTTGGGAGAAAATTTCCATAAATTTCTGGACACCTTCTCTCCTATGGACAGAATATGTAGGAATGCAAAGTTATCTTCTTTTACAGAGCTGTTAATGACCGAGTTTCTATAATAGAAATGGAGAGTTGGTAGTTTCTGATTAACTTCTCTAATAGGTGTTCAATATGAAGAATTCAAGTATTCTGATGGAAGTAATTGGTTACCCACAACCACTTTGAATGTTCTATTTTATGAAATGAAGTTCCTCTTCTTAACACAACTAGATGTAGTAACGCACTGGTTACGAAATTGTATTTTTTAAGTATTAATGAAAAAAAGAGCCATAAACATTCCAGGGGAAATTCTCAAGGTAGCTGCATAAAGCAATTTAAATGCAAATTTTTTCCTAACAAGTTATAAGGTGACTAGCTTTGATACCCCTAATTTGCTCCAGTTGATTTTATAAGAATTTCAGATGTGATAGATGTCTTACAAAGGAGAAAACATTTCTTTTTTTCTTTCCCTGTGGTTTCTGCTAGAACCACTGAAACAGAGGCTACTCTAAAATGAAAGCAGCTCACATGACTTTTCCTTCCCGAATCTTTTCTGCAACTCTGCTGTAAGGCAGTTTTCACAGAATACTATATAATTTCCACAGAAAATAGCCAAGTTTCCCTTTGAAAACCCAAAATATCATAAAAAGCATTAAAATGCTTTTATGCTGCTGACAGAAAGACCTTACTCTGAAGGAAATACTTATTTTTGTCAATGAAAAAAACTGTAAATCTGTGGAGTGTGTTTGATTTTTTTTTTTTTGTCTTTATGCTTAATTGCAGCTAAGGGGAGATACAGAACATATTCATGCTTCTAATTCTATAAAGACAATATAGAGTTCTTCAGTAAGGATGCATTTGCTTTCATGTGGAATAGTCCGCCTTTCATATTGACATTGTCATTGAGTATCTTCAGCATTCGTTATTCCCTCCAACTCTATAATTCTGCTTAATAATTCCAGGTTAAGCTTTTAGTTTAGCATTTTTCTAATCTATAAATGTCCTCCTGACATTGGATGACACAATTTCCCTAAAGAAAAATAAGTCTCACATACTTCTTCATCCCCCATTGCACATTGCCACAACAGTATTGCAAGAGTGCCCATCTGTCTGTCTTCACTTATGCATAAATATAAACCACATCTCAGTCGAAAGAAAGCTAATGTTGAAAAGAAAGAATTGATTAGTGTTGATGAATGGATTTATTAGAGTCAGATTTGCCTGCCGTAAGTAACATTGATGTGTACAAAGGAGAAAATGGAGGCAATTAGCTGAGTAATTTAAAAAGCAGTCCATTCTCACCAGAACAGCCTTTAGGGCCGTACTTTCGTATGTGAATTGAATCTTACAATGCTTTAACCAATTTACTTATTTGAAAATATGTTGCATACTGAAGAGAATGCACAGGAAGGATTAGAAGGCCCAGGCCCCTGCGTGGGCTGATGTTAGTGCTTTTTCCTGCTCTGGAAAGCTGAGCAGCAGAAAAAACATGGAGAAAACCCTCCTAGACACGAGGGCTCAAACAGTGTAATGCCTTATACCAAAGGACCTTAAGTGTTTAATCAAAAATCAGTGTGTTCATTCTTTTTCTTTTAATAAGGAGTTAAATATAATACAAAGAATGGAAAACTTAATTTAGTAGATTATTGAGAGCAATAAATAAATTTATTTCTAAATAAATTCACTCTCATGAATAGTATTGAGGACAGAGAATATTTTTATTCTTCATTTTATTTAAAGACTGACTATATGAAGATCAATCACTTTGCATAGTTAAAAAGTTTTACTATGTTGTGTACCTCACTGCTTAATTATGTGGATTCTGGCTCTTGAAAACTGCAGTTAACGCTGACATAACATATTTTTATTAGTCTATTTAAGACATTATGTGAAGAAGCTAAATTATAATTAAAACAGATATTCAGGGCCGGCAAGCTAGCTCAACAGACTAAGTGCCTGCTTAGGCAAGCGCAGGGACTAGGCTTCGATCTCTGGCACCACATGCTGCACCAGCCCCACCCCAGGCCTGCTGAACCAGCCACTGAGTCTGGCACGGTGGCGCATGTCTGTAATCCCAGTGCTAAGGAGGCTGAGACAGGAAGAGTCCAAGCTGCATAATGAGACCCTGTACCAAATACATCAAAACAAAACAAAACAAACAAAAAATACCAGATATCCAATAGCTCCATACATGTTATTTTACATGTCTGACTGAAACAAATCTAACTAGTAACATTACAACTATAGTTTATTCCAGATTTACATTATTTTAATTTTTCCCCTAATAGATCCAAGTATGAAAAATCCTGGACAAGTTAATATGAAATATTAATGTAAATTGGTATTATGTATATACTATTACTGAGACATCTGTACCTGCTACTTCTCAAATTCTTTGATCTTAGGCTGGTTACAAAAGATAAAGAGTTCTAAATGGTGTATCCATAAAAAAGAGTGTATCTATGAAATTTGTGTTCAAGCAGGCTACCCATGGCATGCTGCCCTTCATGGAAATGCATAGATCCCAGAGAGCAAAGGCAACCTAAGAGAAGTTCCAGCTAAGCCACAGGATCTTGCCTTCGACCAGAGGGGGCATTAGCATGCCTATCCGGTATAGCGTGACTATGAAATTTGGTCATAGTCATGTATTCAGTTAGTACCATAAATGTATCTGTTCTCTTGTATCATGCTCTGTCTATTTCTGTCTCTGTCTCTGTCTTTCTCTGTCTCTCTTTGTCTCTGTTTTTTGTTTTGTCTTGTCTTGTCTTGTTTTGTTTTTTTGTTTTTTAAGAAAGGGTCGACAGGGTATTCAGGGTCTCACTACTAGATGGGACTCATAGTGATCCGCCTGTTTACAGTCTCCTAAGAGCTGGGATTACAGGCGTGCATCACTATGTCCAGTCGCAATTGCCATCTCAGCACATCCCGTGGTTGGGGCCGGCACAGCAGGCCCAGGATTGAGCTGTGTCTGTGTCTCTGTCTGTCTGTCTGTCTGTCTCTCTCTCTCTCTCTCTCTCTCTCTCTCTCTCTCTCTCTCTCTCTCTCTCTCTCTCTCTTTCTTTTTCCTTCTGACAGAGTCATGGATAATTTTTTTCAATCCTGTATAAGTAACCAGCCATTTCATAAAATGCTCTATGAATTGGGGATATGGCTTTTAATTCCAGGTTAGCTCACTATCTGATTTTGCCTGATAAAAGTTTCTCAAGTTCCTTTCTCAGGGAATGCAGGCAAAGGAAACAAAGACTGGTTACCCAAGGAAATGGGAAACATCTTTACTTGATACCAGAGTTCAGGAGGGAGGGCATGGAGCAAAATGGATTTATAAAAGGATATTTTAGCTTGGTATAAAATTGGCAGTCTGAATCAGTACTTCTCAAATGTGAAATTTGATGACAGAGACCTTGGAACCTCTCTCTTCAGACTTCCAGCTGATCCTTATGAACACTGACGTCTAAGAATGTCTTGCTATATAATACTCAGAAAATATTAACTGCCAACATAGCTAAATAAATGAAAAAATCACTAATGAAGTCTAAAGCCTTTTTATTGTGGATTGACTGCAAAAAAAAGGAGCTATTTTATATCTAAGAAAATAATCCAGTGTTGCTAAACTGGTACATGTCAATTACTTATAGATATTTTCCACAAGTTTTTCTAATTCTATCCTTACAGTAACACAACCATCTCAGCACAGGCCCATGAATACAGCTCAGGGTGGAAGATGAACAGTGTGATATTTGAGAATGATATCCTGCCCAGAATGTGTATTTCTTTCATGAGTTTGAATTGTTAACTTTAAAAAAAGCCTCATTACAATGAGCTATTTTGACAGATCTTCAAAAGCTTTTTAGAGTTTTTTGCACCCCATTAAGTGGGAATACTTTCTGCATAGTAGATTTTGTTCTATACAATTTAGAATTTTAAATAATATGAATTTGAGGAGGATGTGGCAGAAGAAATATGTAAGATGTAGCTTTTCCTGGTTAGCGCCACGTTCCCGTGCTTTTCTGTTTTCCTTTTCCAGATACATTCTGGCAATGGGATTAGACATTTTCCCCTGAGAAGTAATTTTAAGACCTGTCCATCTCAAGATAAATCTCTCTGTTAATCAGCCAGAGGTTTAGTTCCATAATACCTTTCCATTATCTCTCAAATGTGTATACTAAAGGGCCTTTGGCATACTTGAAATTGCCAAGAAGCCTGAGAGCTGACTTATTGCAAGGTGACATATTTCTTAAAGACATTTATAATCACATATTCAGATTGGATCAGAATTTACAAAGTAAAGGATTATAGTAAGGTAGCTTTAGGTAACAGTCAAGAAAAATAGCTGCCTCAAATTTTACTATTTCCAGTTAGATCATTTTGTGTTTGGATCACACAGTCCTGTGTATACTCACTAGATCCAAAATGGTAATTTTGATTTTTTTTTGCTGCCAAAACACAATCATCAATGCCAAAGAAACATGTTGACTACTCCAATTTCATATGCAGACTTCAGTCAAGAATTACCTCAGAAGCAGTTGATTCATTGCCTCCATGTAGACAAAGCTTTAATGAGAGTAGTCGGAGCCTACCAGTATTCCATTTAACTCCTTTGATGTCTTAAGCCAATAAGCACTGAGGTAGCTTTTCTCAGAGGAAAACAGATTTTATTTTTCAGGGGCTAATTAATATGCACCTCTTCTGTTCCCAAAGGACCACACAGGTGCCTGTACTATGCCATATGTCATGTGCTGTGTTCCTGCATGCTCAAGAGATTAATATAATATCATTATTATGAATTATTATGTTGCATTCAAGTAAATGTTGGTCTTTTGTTCTAATTAAAATATAAACTTGGCATCTGTATAGAATCTAGCTAGAGCTGCAGAGTATCTATTTTAATGAAGTACATATATTTTTCAATCAAAATGTGTATTTATTTATCTAACCTGCTCAGTAATTATAGCTTTCCAACTTTTTCAAAGAATCTTTATTGAATATATTACTGTGTAGATGGTAAATACTTGGTTATGCATTGTGTTTGGAGTTTTCTAGCCATTTCTGAATCCTGTTTTCATTGTCTATGCTAGTGTTTCATTAATAATCCTTTCCATTTATCTTCATATCAAGCTGGTATAATTGGACTACGTTACTCCAGAAGAAAAAAAAATGTGATTATTCTGTAAGCATATTTTGGTATATGTGATAAATAAAAAAAGAAAAATATAAAAACAAAATATGTTACAATGCCATTTGAAGGTGTCTTTCAGAAGCAAAGGCTTAGATGGTTAAGTGTAGCTCACATAATTATATCCAACATGTTGCAGATAATTCTCGTTAGCAGCTGAGATTAGACTCTATTGTGTGATTTCTTGTTTACATTGCCAATAAAGATTTAGTGGAAAATATATCCCACACATACTAACTTCCTACTTGGAGAATAAGTATAGCGTTGTATTCAGGCAAACACTGCCTAGGACACTTTGAAGGGGTAGTTTGTTTTTTATGAACATCCAGAAAATCAGCAACATTTGATAATGGTTTTGTATATGTGTTTGGAATGTTAATATATACCATACATTTAGAAGTTTAATTAATTTGTAATGTAGTAACATTTAAATATATACATTTTTATAAAAATTAAAAATCTTAGTGACTCAATTTCAAAAACATAAATCTAAAATGAAGCATGAAGATGAGCAGATAAACTAACTTGGATTAATATTTAAAGGAAAATTTTTCCAAATAATTTTCATTTGATTAAAAATAAATACTTCTCAAGATGTGATTCAATTACTAAATTGCACTGAACTATTTTAATATTGTTTCTTTCAAGGTAATTTGATTATGATCTGTGATTTAGAAATGTTTTATTGTACAGAGATTTTCACTGTCATTGTCTTTGTTGTAATTGATTTTAATAGCATCAATTAGAGACAAGTACACAGTTTTCTGATTGCTATGTAGAGTTGAATGTCTAATTCTTATAATATGTGGATGCCTATTAGAAATTTAGTGTTTTCTGTATTTTACCCAAGTGTGATCTCAGTTTATTGTAGGACATTTTTGTGTTGCTTAATGTGACTAAATATCCAGCTTTTGTTGTGATTTGAAGTGACAAAAAATGGGTTGGAATATCATATTCCTTAGGAATATAAATGAATATTTTATAGTTCAGTTGCTTAAATATCTACACATAATTAAAAACATAATACTATGAAATGAAGGCATCTTTTTAAATATTCTTATTCACTATATAATGAATATGTACAGAGAAATGATAATGTTTAAAACACCCATTTAAAATGTATTAAATACAGGTGAAAATTGTTATTGTGTTTTATCATGAAATACAGTATTTGTGCAAAATGAATTTGTTGTTAGTATTTTTTTTTTCATTTGTACATTTGGCACCGGGTCTCACAACTCAGATCAGGCTCGTGGTGATCCTCCTGTTTTCAGCCTCCCCAGCACTGGGATTACAGGCATGCACCACCATGCCCAGACTCTGTCCCTGGCTCAATGAGCTCCAGAGGAGGGCCAGTGTGGCATGCCAGACCAGGGATCAAATACTGGTCCCTGAGCTTGCCAGAGCAGGTGCTTTGTCCGCTGAACTATCTCACTGGTCCTGTTAGTGTGTTTTATTAGGAAATTATATTTACATGATGTGGATCACATCAAACCAGAGTGTCCCCTTTTTAAAGGAGCATCCTACATGCAATATTTTATCACATTTTTCTTCTTTATTTTCCATTCTTGAGCTTTCAGTTCTCATAATGGGTCATATAAGTTTCCAGTGTATGCCAGAATCTAATATCATCCCTTGTGCATGCTGTTCATTATTTACCACATGGAAAATGAGCTCTACTTGTTTAGTCTGGTAGGTTTCATCTGTTTCTTGATGGAGCAAACACTTCCCAGG